AATTTACAATTTATCTAATTTATAATCTTTTTTACTATCTTATTAACATCATGTTAATAAACTTTAAAATTGTCTTTTTGTATAAGAGAAGCTAAAACCAGGCCTATATATCAAGAATAATTAAGCCTAAGTTTCAACTCCATTTTTTCTTAAAAAATTCTCAAACCAATTACTCAAGCAAAAGGAGAGAGGAACCTAGATGTCATAGTTACCTTAGTGGCTCAGTCTTTGTCAACGATTGGAAGGGATCCAAGAGCGGTGGAGTTGATGAGAGGCAACAAACAGCTCCTACCAAGAGATGACGAACTGGGCAAATGGCTTCCACCTTTGCAAATAGGGAAAGGGTCCGACATGGGTTGTGAAATACATCTTGTGGGTTGTATGCGTCTCTAGCTCTCTGTAATGGGGGCAGGATGAGTGATTGGGTAGGGTAAATGTTGATGAGGTGTGGAGAGGTTTAAGGCTAATAGTTGTAATAAATAATTGAAGGAAAGAATTTGGATAAAAAAAGAACTTTTAGGGTGGGCTATTACCTACCCTGTGACAGGGCTGTTTCTCTTTTCCACATGCTTATACCATGATCAATTATTTTTTAATGGTGAAGGAAGTATCAACTTTCTTTTGTTCTTTAAAGGAGAATAAAAAGGAGACAAGGATGCTTTCTTGCGCATCTATTAGGAAATAGGGCAAAAGATTGATGGTTCAAAGAAGCTTTTTTCTTGAAGATCTTATAGAACTTATATACAAAATTACAGAGATTCATATGAACCAATTTTGTTTAAACTAGATGTGATATAATACTTTGATGGAGCACAAGTCGTAATACTATTTCCTCTAGTAGAGTTTTTACTGCTAGAATATGATTTTATTTTATTTTTGAACTTATAACCATTCGACATTGACACCTCATATATCTCATGTCTATTTATTACTCCCAAATAAATTTTGAATGCAAATTATTGTTAAGGTGAAGATAATATAATATCATTTAGTTTACTATTTATCATTTATATGAGTGATGTTGTGGACATGTATGATACAAAAATAGGTAATATTTGTGGCAAATAGGGTGATGATGGTGATAGTTTTATGGATGCTTCAATATTAATCGTCAATTGGAGATTGCAAACCCATTTTATGACTAACAAAGGATTGAGATTTTCTAATTCTTTATATATTTTAAGGCTGAGAATAAGAATTCAAGCTATAAAGACTAAATGGACAACTCTTATTCCACAAGGGCCAGTGTTTGAAAGAATATTCACTTCAATAACTATTAATATAATAATCTTATGCTTGAGTTTGTCAATAACTCATTTAATAGTTAGACAATTCTTTGAAGGTAAATTAGAGTTAAAGATGTTATATGTATTAGAAAAGAACATTCAAGTGAAGGTGAAGAAATTAGATAAAGATGTTTGTATATCAGCTGCACATTTGTGTTTATATGGTGTGCGAGCTAAGTGATTGGCTCAATTAAATGTATTTGGGATTGGGAGCTATGAATTCAAACACACTTGTACTGTGGATGTCAGGTCGAAATATTATTGACAAGCTCAACCATAACTTAGTGGATATATAATCAAAGAAAAACTTATCATATTTAGCCTAAAAAGCCAAAGGCAATTATTTTAAGTTAACATTGATCTATTTTATGAGAATATTTGGCGATGTTGTGAGCAAGCTATTATCCATTTAAGAGGATTCTTCAAAGCATTTTTTTCATAATGTAGGGATAGCAGGTGATCTTCAGCTTGAACTTTTAGGACATTTCAAAGTTGTATTTTCTCTTTAAATGTTTATATCTAAAACTTTCAAGTTATTTGTCATCAAATGTTAAGTCTAGATATACTATTTCTGAAGGCACGTTAACATTTATGTTTTCCTAATGTTATTTTTACTTGTTGGATAAAAAAAAAATGGATGTATTTATATATATATATATATATATATATATTTGTCCTCTCATGCATGTTCGCACGAGAGGACATGTATGTATAGAAAGTTCGATATGATAGTACTCCCATGCGAAGATGCAGTATTTGCAGATTAGAGCCAATGTTTTAGTTGCTAGCTAATTCACAAAATTTCACATGCATAAGTATAGTTGGTTTATATGTTGAAGATATATATTGGTATTGTGAACACCCAGGAGATTACGGATTATATAAAGTGTTGTGTTACTCCTAATTGTGAAGTGGAAGGGTGGTCGTTCAAGAAAGAATAATAGGCAAAATGATGCGGTGCAATATAGATCCAATCGATGTAAACTTAAAGGCTATAGCCAAGCACATTAGCGCCTAGTGCTTATTACCTTCTTAATAGTTTTTGCTTCTCTTTTTTTGCTCATTATAAGAATATTGTAATTGTTTCGATTTAATATAAGTTTTTAGTAATGTCATTGATTGGTTATACAATAACCAAGTTTATACTCTATGGTTTGAAATTGAGTCTACCACAAGTTTGAACTAATTTGAACTTGGTTCGAGATAGAAGTTTAAACCATGTTCATATTTAATTTAAATAAGATTTGAATGTAATTCAAACAAATTTCAAACATCGTTCAACCAACTCTTGGATGTTATTCTAATTGTAATTATGCTTGAATGTTGTTTGAACTAGGTTCAGATTAAGTTTTAATTACTAACTAGTTCGACCCAATTTTTTTTGCATTAAACTTTGAATAAATATGTCCTCCATTAAAAAATGGGGCGGCATACTTTTCAAATAAAATACTAGCAAGTGTGTTTGACTAATTATGGACTATTAAAAAGGCATATGAAATCAAATTTCTTAAATTTGATGTTGTTGGTTATTGAACAATCTTCTGATCATTTCGTTATAACTAATATTTTTTTGTTATTCAATTTGCAAAACAATTGCAATTTTATATGCAACATCTTAGTGGGATTTTTTTTTTACAATTAGATTTAACATCATAAAAAAGAGGAGATAGTTGACCCCATAAACCATACACTGTTGTCTACTCATATTTAATGATAATAAAGATATATTAAAATATGTTCAATGACCATCGAAGTTTCAAGCCAATTCATATATTAAACTACTAGGATTAAAAGATTGCATGTGAATATGCACTTATAAGTTGAGCTATATGTATTTATTTTAATATTTAAAATAGTAGAAGAGCTCGAATACAGTTCAGACTGCTCAAACTCAAGCTACAATGAACTAATATAAGCACTGAATTAAATGTTGCTAAACTTATTTTTTTAAAACTATGATATATTGTATTTTAAGCCTTTGGACTCGGTTATTTTGCCATGGTAGAAGCAACAAAATTAGTTTTAAATATTATAATTTTTATCTTGGTATATGAGTGGTGGTTAATACTTTTGGATTATTGCACCAAGTAACTCACTATAATCTGTTACCCAAGTCATAAATATGCAAACTTTTCGAGTTTTAGAGCTATCATTAATGGGTTGCAAAAAATGATTAATCGGGCAATGGTTATAGTCATCTTAGCATGCCTCATGCATGCTTTCATATGTTCTTGTTAAATTTAAGAACATTGAGTTTTGGTTCTGTAAAATCACAGCTTTTAAAATTATCAAACTTCATGGTTATTGTATTCATCACAGATCCTTGCTCTAAAACTAAAACTATTTGTTGGAATATGTTAATGTTAAACTACAGATGTTTCAACCCAGGAGCAAGTATGATGGATCACAAAGTAACTGCAAAATAGATTAAGCACCATAACAAGATAACACTAAAATTTATGCGATTCTGCTCAAGTAAAATTACATCGAGAAAAAAGAAGAGAGGATTTGATATGCTACCAGAGAAATCATAATTCTGATGCACAATAAAGGATACTCAGCATCACTTTCAAAAAATTTGAGTATAACTTGCTTAACAAAAAAATGTAAATAAAATGTTACCCTCAAGTCTCTCAGGATAAGTAAAAGAGAATAACTTACGACATATAATAAAGCAAGGCGATTTAAAAAGTACTAGAAAAGTAGTTATGAAATTCCTCAAAATAGGCGTCACTATTTTGTTGGGATAATACTTCAAAATTTTGGACTTGAACTTTCTTGTAATTTTGGACTTGAACTTTCTTGAACATTAATACATCACTATTTTAAACTTTCTTGATAATACTTCAAAATCTCCTATCACATAATCATGCTTTCACCAAGAAGTTTAATGCCAGCTTCATCATGTGATTTATGCAGGGATATCATGTCAAATGTAACAAATCACTTATCCATTTCATAAGTTTTCTCAGAAGAATGAAATTTACCTCACTGTATGATTCATGCATGAATGTTGACTTAATATGTAACAAATTACTTGTTCCATTTTCAAGTTTTTATATAATAACTTAAAAGCTACCTTACCATATGATTTATGTGATATATGCATGATATCGAGTTAGTATCTAAGACTCCAATCTAGAAGACATTGATAATGATTATTCAAGACTAACGGTAGCCCAGAACCAAAGCAGGGAAGATTTGAACGAGCAGGCACCTGAACCAAAGCTGCAGCAAAACAGTGAACCGAACCAGAAATCAGAGACATCGGAGAGCTAAACTAAACCGAGGCACGGAACCAAAGTTCCATGTTAAGGAGTCAAATTAGAGCCCGCAAGGAATTCCAAATTTCTATTTTTTGTTTATGTGGTCTCATATATACTCTTAAGAAGGTGGAATTATCTTCTAAGTATTAAAAATCTGTAAAACAAACAACTGTGATAACACCAAACAACTCGAACAGCTCCAGGGCATTATTAATCTTACCATGATTAATTAGTGCCATAGTTTGACAATTTTGTTAACATTATATGAAGTACTCAGTTTGCCTAGCCCTTTTTATAAGCAATGAATTATATATAGTGCATATTGTTTTCATGAGTTTGCATTGTTGTTTGAAATTGAACAACATCAATACAAAGTCTGACTGAGTCAAACCATTTATTCTAAGTTGTGAAGAACCTTCTTGCTGTCACTAATGCTTCCTGCATGCAGATCTGTGAATTAGCAGCAGAAACTCAGAAATCAAAAGGAGCACTTGCAAGAAAGAGTAGAACAAATTCTGAAATAGGCCCAAGCAGCAGGGATTCTATATCAGTTGATTCAATTTTGACCAAAAAGGCGGCCACAGTATCTCAGGTTATACCTGCAGAGACTCTGCATTGTTATTTGCATGATTTTTGTACATTTATTGACATTCAAAAAATTTTTACCAGCACTTTGCTGTCCAAATATCATGCGGCTATGCTGTTATTGCATTGTTCTGATTGCGACCTTATTTTTGTCTTATGCTTATTTCCATCTATTTTCTAAGTACCAGCCTATTAATTTTGCTTGATGTTCACTAATAGCTCTAAGTTTGGCGAGCTAATTTGCTTGAACCAACTCATGAGCAAACTAGTTGTGATTTTTTTTTACCAATGAACCAATCGTTTCTTTGTATATTAGATATCGCCATATGATATATAATTTTAGTGGGTGATTTTAATAATTATCGATCAATATTACTAGGAAGGAAAATTGATACCTAGCTGTGATTGATTAATGTATTCTAGATTTATAATGCGCAAGACTTTTAATACAGATGAATATTTAATTAGCGGTGTTAGGGTTGGGTGATTAGAACGGAGAAATATTTTGAGAGTACGGTTCTGGATAATTAAAAAGTTGTTAATTGCTAATTTGAAGCATGCAGATAGTGTTAAGGTGGATGTGTGACAAAATTAAGAATAATAAATCGTAAATGAACATATTAGAGGCATAGAATAATATTGATATTAAGGAAGTTGAAGACACAATTTGTGTTTTAAATAGATGCATAAAATCAATTATGATTGATTTTAATAGAGGGATACAATATTTTGACTATAAGGAATTTAAAAATAGATTTTTTGTATTGGACATATATACTAAAGGGCAAACACTTTACCCATTAGATAGTAGAGAAATTAATGTTAAATGATCAAGAAGAAAAAAATTGAAAACCCAAAAAAACTTGATTAAAACTTAATTTAAAAGGACTCACAAAGAATAGTTCTAACTATTCTCATGAATCAATAAAATAAAATAAAATAAAATAAAATAAAATAAAATGTTCATTTCATGAAGCACTCAGAAGGAATGAATACAAAATAAGGATTCATAGAACCAACTTCAAATAGTTGGGATAAGAGTAATTACGATTATAATGATGCCCTAACCATTACATTATTTCTTCACCACCTACTCCCCAGTGAAATTTACTGCTCATGAACACCTATGCCGCATAATTTTCAGCAACTAGTATTTAATTCTTCATCATATGCATTCTGATATGGTACTAACTTCCCGTTTCACTTCTTCTATTGTGTACCCAAAGAGCGCTGAAGTTTCATCCAAAATATACCTCATCAACTGCCTCTCTGCCATTCAGCAGCCATTGATTTCCCATGAAGTTGCATCATATTATGCAGCCAATCTTCTTTCCATGATTGAAACTCACCTCGAAACTCTTGTGGACAAAGAAGTAGATTCCATTCTTAGAAGATGTGGCCTTCTGAGCAAGCTAAACTACATTCAAACTGTCTCTGCAACAGATCACAGCGCTGAAGCTGCTGGTACTCTAGCTGAAGTAGAGGATATGTCGCCGCCAGTTCTCTCGGATTGTTTAAGAGCTTTCTTCGGACTAGTGACAGGGACCGAAGGCTCCCTTCCGGAATACGATCTGTTGCAGGTTCCTCGGCTTCGTTCCGATGCATGTGCTCGTGTAGCGAAGGCATTAGCAGCAGCTTATGAAGTCATATATGGAGCCATTACTGACCCCAAAAATGGGTACTCGGATCCCAAGTCATTGGTGAGGCACTCACCAGATCAGATTAGAACCATGTTGGAGATCTGAAATCTTATGTTGTTAGTATTTGCTAGAAGGTTTTATTCTTGGCTTAGTAGTTTTATATGAAAACTATTTAACACTGATGTGTTGTGTACAGCTCATAGTATATTTTTGTAGGAAGATTACATATATACCACTTGATTCTTATGTATTTATATATCTAACACCTAAACTTCAATTTTACATACATAACCTTAAAAGAAATATTTCACTCTTTAGAAGTAAAATGGTGGTTTTTTTTATGTGATATGAATGTAAAAAGTCAAAGTTTAGGTGTTGTATATGTAAATACATAGGAATTAGGTGGTATGTTTGTAAATGCGCCATTGTTCTATTCATTTTGTAAACTTTCTGAATGACATATTTCCAATAATGTGTTACATAGACACTTGTTTTGGGCCAGAAAAGCAGGTATTATTTCTGCTGCCAGGGTTCAGAAATCCAAAGTATGTATTTTATCTACACTTTCGGCTCGCTTTAGCCTTTTGGTTTTCTTAAGCTCCCAACTATCTTGATTTTGAGGTGCAGCGCTTGATTTTGTTCATGTTTGGCTTGGTTCATGGCTGTTGAACCGGGCTTAATTAAGTAAAAATTTGAGCCAATTATGGCTAGGTTCAGAGGCCAACTCGTCTTAATTAGAGATGCTATATTAAATATTTTTGGACTAAATTAGAGTTTATAGGGTTAAGTATAAATAATTAAAATATTTGAAAATTCTATTATTTAATTTTTTTTTTTACTCTCACAAACTTTTAGTTCTTAATCGTTTTATTATAACAATTATGTCAAATGAAATTATTATTGTCATTATTAATGATTAAGTCAGCATTTGGACTGATTTGAATTGTCAAAATTGAGGTCAAGTTAAAGATTGAAGTTAATTAATCAAGGTTAACAAAGCTTAAGCCAGAGATAACTTGATTTTGATACTTGTTTCCATGGAAAAATATTAGGTGTGAAACATGAGAAATTATTTCATACGGGTAGCAAATGCAGAGATGCATGCGTTGTCTAATTTGGCCGTCGATAACAATTTTTTTGTTTTAAAGAAATATGGCCCACTGAAATATAATTTTGCTGTGATCGACGATCGAGTTCGGACAGCGCATGCATCTCTGCATGCGCTATCAGTATGTAATAATTTTTCGTGAAACATACGTAATATATGTCCCATTTTCACTCCATTTCCAGGCTTCAATGTAATATAACATACCTCAAACCTAAGGTTTTAATAAATACATAAATGAATAAAACCATACAAAAATGCTTTAGGTAATTTCTTTGATGAATATCAAACTGTATTAATTCAAAATTCATTGAATTGACATTTTTATTTATTAATTTTAAATGTTATTTAGGATCTAATTTACTTTTTTTTTGCATGAATTATTGCCTTATTAATTTTCATCTACTTTTTTTTTCTCTAATTTATTGACATTATATTTCAATTTAATTCATAAATAAAAAAATATTCACATCATTAATAAAATTAAAATGGACGGGTTTATATATATATATACAGACATTAAAGAAATGAACGGTTTATTCATGTACAAGTCATTTTCGCTTTGGACCATCTCTTTCTCACTTTTAATCTGAAGATAAACTTTTCAACCTGTAGCCGAACTTTATCTGATATATCTTCGGAGACTTTAATTTTTATTTCCACTTTTGCAAAGATATCAAAACTCATAAAAATAATGAGGCCAACCAAGGAGGGCTGGTATCAAATCTAATATAATAATAATGTTGATGGCTACCTAACAATATTCGACATTTTCTCAATCCCCCCCTTTTTCCTCAAATAGAAACCACCCTTCATAGAGTAAATAGTCAAATCGGAATGAATGGCTGAACTGGATGTGCGAACGATGGCATGATTATCTAGAGATGACCGAGCGAATCACACCACACCATGTAAACAACGGCATGATGAGATCCGCATGATATGGTGCGATTCACATCGTTATTGACACATCTAGTCCAGACAACAAACATAATATTTTCTTTGTAGTCCTATAAGTTTAAGTTACAAGATCAAAATTTTGCCTTATGCATCCTTCACGACGAATGTAATTTCATCTTATGCTTTAAATTTCGTCCAAAACTTCATCTTATGCTTTTGCTGATCTTGGCAGATAATTCTATTGATCAGATTTAGCTTTACTATATTTCTCTTGCACAAAAATAATAATTTGATTGTCATCCTAGAAAAAGAGAACTATTTTATAGCACGATAAATATGATAAATTTGATTATATATACTTTATGAGAAACAAAAAAAGGAAAAAAAAAAAGGAAAATCGAGAAGTTAAAGAACATGCATGCTTGAATTTAAACTTGATTGATTGAGAAACTGGAAAATAAGCAAGCTACAGGAGCTCTAACTCATGGTCAGACTTAAACATGGAAGAAGCCATTGTTGCTTTTGAACCCTGTCTCGCCTCATCTCATTCTCATCATCAAAGCCATTGTTCATCTCTCTATGTGAAGCCAAGTACATCTCTGTCACCTTAGACATTCCCCAATCATGGCCTAATAACTTCAAACTTCCTGACTCAACAGATGAGGAAGAAAAACTACCTGCAGAATCTGAAGTATTTGATTTCTGGTCTTCTCTCTGCTTCCTCCTACTGCTTCCAACAGCGAGAGTCAGTTCTATTTCTCTCTCATCACTGTATTGGATATAATCTTCTGCTGGCAGCTCTAAATCGAGTATCAGACGAGGCGTTGGATTCCATTGATCTTTCTTCAGCCTGTTCATCTTCATCTCCTTCATTAACTGTTTCTGCACTCGGTAGAGTCTATGGAGTTCATGCACCTGATCGATTCAACACAAAAAAAAAAAAAACTTTTTTTTTTATTTAGAAAGCAAATGATCGAAAAAGATTTATCCTTTTATAAAACTTGGTGAGAAGTTGTTGAAAAGTTGTCACATAGAACAGTTTTGAAATTTCATGGTAAAAACAGCTTTTTTCTTTAAAAGAAAAAGCTGTTTGCTTTAAAAACAGTTCCGCATACCGAAATGTTTTAAAAACCGCATTTTTACAGTAAAAAGCGTAATCAAACGTGCCTAAAGTGATTCAAACTGAATGCTTACCTGTTGCCTGAAGGTCTCTTCCTGCTCTAGAATTGCTCTCTTCATTCTTTCCTTATCGTGCTGTTTCAGAATTTTCTCCATTTTCTGCTTCTTAGATTGCTTGAACTTATTGCCTGATATTCTCCAAAGAGTTGAACAGTTCTGCAATTTTCCTGATTCAGTTTCTTCTCAAATCTGTCAATTTTGCTGAAAATGAATCAACAACTCGTTAATAAATTTCATGAACTATGCTCAGAAACTCATGTTTATAAAAAATGGCAGTGAATATTGAAATATGAATCTGTGGTATTATTATTCATAAAGTTTTAAGTTTTTTTTTTCTTTTTCAAGGTTAGGTGTGAGGAAAGCACAATTTTGATGCGGGTGGGATATTAAAACTACGATTTTGATAACAACTTAAAGATCTAAGCTGTCGCCCACATTAATTTTAAAGTTCAATGATTGCATTGCCTAATCCTTCTGTAAAGCATTTAATTCTTAGATATTTCGAATAAGCTTCAAGCCAGCTCTTAAATTTCGTAGGGTCTGCTAAAGCTTTCTCATGATATAGTAACAGTCCTAAGGGCTGCAAAATATTATTTTTAAAAGCATATTAAGAAAATAAAATAAACTATTTATCTAGAGTCAATTAGTATACAATTACTACAATTTTTATCTCTGTGGCTGAATTTGCTCATAACTTAAAAAGAGAAAATAAAAACTTCCGGATCTATATAGATAACTTCTGTAAAAATCAATCAGTTTCTTATGAAGAAAACAACAGAGATCCTAAGAAAAAATAGAACTTGAGCATCAAAATCAATGACAGAGTACAGATTCTTACTTATAAGACTTGAAATGTCAAAGCTCTCAACAGTCTCAGCTTCCTCTGCATATGCCCCACACAAAACCTTCAGCTCTCTTAAATATAAGCAAACAGGAATCTCCACACTCCAATCTGAGGACGCAACAAGGTGCTTTAAGGTACTTTTTCAAAAAACCCCCCCACGAGAATATTATTTTACTGTAATCTATAAGCATGAGAAACCAAAGTCAGTTCTGCAGCCAATGAGATACAAGTGTGGGAGCAGAAAGATGCTTCAGGAGTTGCTAACAAAGACAGTGGTGTCATGATTGAGAAGAACTGACTTATTATATGAGGTAAGTATTGAAAAATAATGGAGCACTAGCCTTGAGAATCATGAAGCAGACAGCTAAAGCTGCCACGGTAGGTCACATGTGGCATGGAATTAGTTAATCTTATATAAATTCTTGAGCTTGGGGTATGATTGTTTGTAAAATATGGGAGTGATGGTGAGTTCTTTTAATGAGGAATTGGTGATGAAATAGGTTTGTAGTTGGTGAGTGTTAGGAAAGGTGAGAATTGCTTCGTAGTTGGGGATTGATCCAACTGGTTTTGTCGGTCTTAGATTGCCAAAGGGAGTGTGGATTATGTGAGATATCATTCAGTACAAGGATTGAGAGCAAAAGTTAAAGTTACATTCTTTTTATCATGTGTTTCGGATCCGGAAGGTGTTACAACCCAATAACACAATGTTTGATGAAAAAATATGAATGTATTTTGTACTCAAGAAGAAAAAATTAGTATACAAACAACATAAATAACAAAAATAAGTAGAGAAATATAAAATTTTATTCAATTACTAAAATACAACTATTATTCAGCAAGAAAGTAGAACAACAATAAAAAAAAAAAAAAAGAACAGAAAGAAAACAACTGTAAAAATGAAATTACTTGAACCCAACAGAAATATAACAACCGATAGATAAATTAAAAACATGAATAATTGAGTTTGAAGAGCCAAACTTAGTAAATAATCATCATTTATAAAAAATTAATGATAAAGTACTCGATATACAATATGAACATTAATAAAATGAGACAATTTACTGCACGCACACTATTTGGAAGTTATCGAGTGACATTAAGGGTTCGTTTGGGGCGCTTTATTTGGTGCGGTGGCATTTTGAATATGCATTTGGACTGTTTGGGTAAACTGCGTTTTGACAGCTTATGCGTTTTGAAAACGCTAAAAGTGGCGTTTTCACATCGCACCTATCTAGGTGCGGTTGCAGCTTCCTGACAGCGGTTTGTCTTTTCCAAAAAAATAAAAATTTCTAATAACCACCCGCATCTAGCTTATCAGCAGATTATTTTTAATCAACTTATCAGCAGATTATTTTTAATCAACTTATCAGCAGATTATTCAATAAGCTGCAACTGCCCCGAACAGACCATAAATGATGGTCACATCTTAATAATACTGTAATGCTTAAGTGAAAATTATTGCATGCACTGAACATATCTATAATATGGTGCTGGCTATCATTGATCATTAACTAGATTGCAATATGGAACAATCAATTTTATATATTCCACTGCAATATTTGTTTTCAATATTACAATCAGACCTTATTAGTATATGACTCAACAATCATTTTAAAATTATATTCTATTTCAACACACACACACACACACACACACACACACACACACACACACACACACACACACACACACACACACACACACACACACACACACACACACACACACACACACACACACACACATACACACCCCAATCCCAAGCAAAGCTAACAATTTTTTGTAGACTTATAATTTTGTTGGCCTGTCGGACTGCCTAGCCAACATCAAAAAAAGTTCTATTGTCCTACACACTATTGTATACAAGCATACAATTACAAATTCTCCAATAGATAATTTATAAGCAAAATGACCAATGTTATTAATATTTCAAGTATGATTATCCTATTAAAGGAATCTACTACAATTATAAGAAAAAAGGTGCAGGAAAATAATTAATACTATGATTGTCAAAGTAATCGAATATGTAGAAATCCATGCAATAATACAACAAGGCAAGTATTTTCATGTGAACAACTACTTTGATATGAATAATAAAGGAATCTTACATCAGTTTTCAGCAAAAAAATAAAATGAAATAGTAAGACTGATAACCTATAAAGATCATTAAGAATCTAATACAAGCAACAATGATAGTTTCCCTGGCAACGAGACTTGTGTTTTTCCTGTAATAAACAGTAGGCATATAAATTTGAAGCGAGAAATACAAAACTCTCCATCAATTTAAGATTCAACAAATGATGTTGGACAAAAACCTGTTGAAAATAACTTTATAAACAAATATTATATTTGATATGCCATCAATAAATTTTCATCATCCCATATAGATCTTGATGCATGACACAAATCTTGAGGTAAATTTTTCAGCAAGAAACATTCAAATTTCAATTAAAGCTAATTTAGAACTCCAATTTTCAGCAGACTTATAGTCAAACTGATTGGCTCAAAAAGAACCTCATCACACCAAAGTTGGTACAATCCATGTCAGATCTAGCTGTTAAATCACTGTTGGAAGCTTTCAGTGCTTAACTAGAAGGTCAAATTAATTTTAAATGGATTCCAAATGTGAAAAGATTATAGTCAAATTAAGTGTCTCAATAGAACGAATCTAATGAGCCCAAGATCACTGAATTATGACATCGTTAAGGCACTCAAATATCCATAAATATCTTTCAAATAATTGAATCTCACTTGTTTGTCCGATAGAGTGGTCCAAACTCCTTTTTTATTTACATGGAGGACTCTCCAAGACACTATAAATAGAGTCTTACTCCTTTAATGAAACAAGCACAACCTTGAACTGGAGGAAGCCCAAAGCTTGGAGAAGGAATTGAGGTCCAGTGTTATGTTCCAAAGGTCCAGCAAACACCACCAACTCATTTAGCTGCCTGCAGCCGTCGACCACTATATGTCACCCCTAATGATTACAACAAATCCCTTTTCAGAATCATGATCCATGCTACAGAATCCCGACATAGATTGCAGAGTAAGGAAGCACCAAACGAAGCTATGTAATGATATACCCCAAAGACGGTATAATGACACACTCGAAGATAGTGTAACGACACACCCTAATATTGATATAACAACACACTCCAAATATGATGCAATGATGCCTCAAATAATGTGTAATGATGTATGAAAAAAGTGGTGTAACAATGCATCCCACATACAATGCAACTACGCTTCCCGAAGATGGTGCACGTACAATAACCATTTACAACAATCTTACTTTATACAATGAGTTTCTCTTGACCCTTGAAGTTTACTCATTGTAGCTCATCACTATGACCTAAAGTCATGCAACTCTCAATTTTGACTTCTATTGCCTACGGACATTATTACAGGTGATGCAACTCCGAACTTTGACCTATGTGGTTTATGGATGTTATCACATCTCATGCTACTCCTAACTATGGTCTTTTTGGACTACGGACATTATCATAAGTTCTGCATATCTCAAGGTTAGGATCTACAACTTACAGATGTTAGTGCAACTCACTACTATGACTTATGTAACCAACTGTGACCTATGTAGTTTATAACTCATGTAACTTCCAACTCTAGTCTCTATGACATACTGACGTTATTGCAACTCACTACTTTCTATATGACTGACCTACATGGCTCACAATTTCTACAACTCCCTGTTACGACCTTTGTGTCCAATCGACGCTCCTGAAGTAATCATCTATGACCCATATAACCAACTATTACCATGAATTTTAACTATGGCCTTTATAACAGGTTGGCACTACAACCACTGTGTGTACAACATTCACGACAAACTACTGCCTCCATAGCAATTAAATATGGCCTTAGCGTCCATTACAACCATCATTGCTGAAATCTGTTGGGCATCAACTTTGTAATTTCATCTTCCCTAACTCAAGAGAAGAGTGAGACCGTATACTCACCATTATATTGTGGATTATTTCAGTTGGGATGGGCCCCATGATTTTATCCTCTTTCCAGGGTCTTCCATGTAAAAAATCTTAGTATCTCTACCTGTCATATTAATTATATAAGCATGAGATGAATTTTTGTGCAATGAAAAGACCCTAAATAATCACTCTACCATCATGAATCTTTTGACACACATCAATTTTTTGTCTAGTTTATATTAAATAAATCCAACACATGCAAACATACAATCAAAATTATTCATGTTTTAAACACATTAAATTGAGTTTATTAGGTTGAATTTAAATGATCTAAATTGAAATAGAAACAAGTCAATTGTTACAAAAAAACTGATCTACTTAATCTTACATTAAAGAGACTAAGCTGCTCATTTTTCTCCCTCTTATTGCTCATTCTTGCTATCATGAATCGAGCGGTTGAGATTTTCATTGCGTTCACCCCTTTCCCTACATAACCGCGTTGGTTTTTGTTTTTTAATATTTGTGTTCCTCCTTGCCACCATCCTAATTGAGTAGATAATATGGTAAATTTTCCATGCTCCTTGATGCTTTAGCCTACTAACCTATGTAATGCTTTAAGGGTGATTGAGGCCGGGTATGGCAACAACTCTTCTATAATCGCCAAACATATTCAACTGAGTCTCCTTCCTTCTCCTCAAAACCTTAGTTACTAGCCACTTTGTTTTCTTTCTTCCTCATGTGAAGTACAACAAGGATGCCCCCTCATCCCCTTTCTTCTGATCGAGCTAATGATAAAGAAAAATTGGTTTCTCTTCCTTCTTCCTTTTTTGTCTACCAAGTCTTTTCAAAAGTAGTAACATCTCTCCTTTCTCTTCTACTTTCCATTCTTAATTTCTTAATGCTTCTAAATTATCTTTTATCCCGTTCATGCTTGTTAGATAAATTTAACTTTCTTGAATAAAGTTGAATTTAGGAGGGCTTAGAGTATTTATTTCTTATAGTAGGTTTTACGTATGTGTTTGGTAGGTCATTGTAATGGGAGCAAATTATCCAACATCAAAAACTTTTTGGTATTTTCACTTTATTTATGAGTTATTATTTTTTTTTGGTATGGATATTTTTGTTTTTGTAGTTTTTTTCTCTTAGATATAGTCCTATTTTTTTGTTGATCTGTAACTAAGTGTTTTAGTAATATATAAAAAAAATAAAATATGATTTTACTACTTGTTTTTATCCTTTATATTTTTTTTAATTGAATTCCCTCCTTTTGAGTATAAAACAAGTTTATATCTTTTCATCACCTTCCTAACCCGGGGTGCAACAAG